AAGCGGTGGAGACGCCGCGCCAACGGCGTCCCGGGCGGACTGAGCTCGTCGGAGCCGTGCGAGGAGGGGGCCCGCATGTCCCCGGGCGCGACGCGGCGTGTGACCACCTACCAGACCACCCCAACCCAACTCGAAGACCCGAATTTCGGGTTGGGTTGGGGTGGTTTGGTGGCCTGTGAGCGCGTGTGCTGGGCGCGTGGCACGCTCCTGGAGCGCGGGGATGCCAGTGAGGACGTCAGTCTCGCGGGCGGTCTGTCAGAACACGCCGCGTAGAAGTGGATGCGAGGGCGCTGCGCCGATCGGGGGCCGACTGCCCCTGGTGGGGCTCCCGCCTCCCTGACGGGAGGGGGGGTCGCGGCACAGGCTTCGGTTCCTCTGTAGAGGAGGGGTGTTGGCCTGGTGGCTGGGGGGCAGTGGGGGGGCGCTGAGTGTTCAATTGAACTTGCCAGCACAGCGCCTTACAGCGACGGCACCGCCACCGTGGCGGTCCGCGACTCCTTACCTCGCCGCTGTAGGTCAGCGTCAGGTGACCGGTATGGGACGGGTCCTGCAACCCCTGAAGGGGTAGGGTGGGCTGGGCCAGGCACCGGCGGAGCAACGGCGTGCTCATGATGGCCGGGTGGCAGGAGGCCTGTAAAGGTGATCAGCTGCCTCGCTGTGGTGTGGACGCCGCTGGGACCAGCGTGGGCTTCGCCGTCCCCGCCATACGCATCGTGCGAGCAGATTTCGCCAAGGGGTGCGGATTGCCCGTGGAGCGGAGCGTGGGAAGCACATGCTGAATCGTTGTTGCCGCTGTCGAGGGCACCACCGAGACAGAGTGGGTCTTCTTCGTCGCCGTCGAGGTCGCCAGGCCGGGAAGTGGTCCTAGGGGTCGTCGAGGGCATCGAAGTCATCGGGCCCTGGTGAGCACGGGGGTCCTGGGGGACCAGGCCCTGGCGGGCCCGGTGTCCCTTGTGTCGCCGTGGCAGAGGTGAGTGGGTCGGCCTCCATCCGGTGGAAGGCGCTCAGCGCGTACCCCGCCCGTCGGTCAGGCAGGGGGCAGGGCGCGGCGGCGGCGGTCGTCAACGGCAACTGCCGCGCGGAGGAGCACAGCCGCCAACCCGTGGCGCCGTCTGGCGGCCTCGGTGACATCTCGCGGCAGCTGCCGAGGGTGCGCTCCGTCCGTGGCCGCTTCGTCGGCGCGTCGGGTCGAAGGCTTCGGCCGTGGGCGAGATGAGGCCGTCATGTGTCCCTCGTGTCGAGTCGGGCATGTCCTCCTGCAGGCGGATTTTGGAAGAAGAACAAGCAATGGCAAAAAATGCTCAATAGTCAAAACTGGTCTAAAAATCGTCCCCATACTATTTTGCGCCTAGTCTCGAATATTCCTCCTGTAGGGGGACACGCCCGACTTGATCCTCGTGGCTTTCAACCCTTCCGGCCCTGAATAGGTCTGGTGCGGCTGGGCAGCGCGGCGGATGCTCCGCCAGGCGGTCGAGGGAAGAAATTAAGCAACACTCCCCCCCCGCAATTCAAAATTAGCACGCTACTTGAAGACCACTCGGAGGCCCAAAAAGTCAGAAGATCCGAAATCAACATTGCATCTGGGTGGAGGGGGGGAGTTCAAACCATATGTACTGCATGAGTAATCCCACCAGCCCTTTAGGGCGTGAGTGGTTTAGAGAGCCCCCTCTGTCCTCAACCCCCCTTCCCCTGGGCTCCAGCCAAGCCGACCTTGAGCAACCTCGTAATTGAGTCGAAGGGAAGCCCTTTCCCTTTGATCCCTCCCCCGCCGGGAGGGGGGAGGGGGTAGCGACCCCCCCCCCGGGTCAGATACGACGCCCCCCCCTGGGACTCCTCTTCCCCTGGGCTCCAGCCAAGCCGACCTTGAGCAACCTCGTAATTGAGTCGAAGGGAAGCCCCTTCCCTTTGATCCCTCCCCCGCCGGGAGGGGGGGGGGGGTAGCGACCCCCCCCCCGGGTCAGATACGACGCCCCCCCCTGGGACTCCTCTTCCCCTGGGCTCCAGCCAAGCCGACCTTGAGCAACCTCGTAATCTCTTGCTGCGCATTGCGAACAGGGTCGGCGGCACCGGCCGTCAGGCCTTCGCAATCATTGATTTTACTACGGTTTTGGCCCCTTTTTGGCCGTCTGAGGGGCCAGCGCTGCTGCTCCTTGTTAGCAAAATCATTGATTTTACTAAGGTTTTGGGCTCATTTTGTCCTTCTGAGGGGGTAGCGCTCATTTGCGCTTCTCAGGAGGTCGCAAGAAGCCCCCAAGAGGCCCCAAGAGGCCCCCAGGAGCCTCCCAAGAGGCCTCCAAGAGGCCCCCAAGAGGCCCCCAAGAGGCCCCAAGAGGCCCCCAAGAGGCCCCCAAGAGGCCCCCAAGAGGCCCCCCCCAAGAGGCCCCCAAGAGGCCCCCAAGAGGCCCCCAAGAGGCCCCCAAGAGGCCCCAAGAGGCTCCAAGAGGCCCCCAAGAGGCCCCACGAGGAGCCCGAACGACTCACACCAGGACGAGGGGCCCGAACGACTCACACCACGAAGAGCCCGAACGACTCACACCACAAGGAGGGGCCCGAACGACTCACACCAGGACGAGGCGCCCGAACGACTCACACCACGAGGAGCCCGAACGACTCACACCACGACGAGGGCCCCGAACGACTCACACCACGAGGAGCCCGAACGAGTCACACCAGGAGGAGGGGCCCGAACGACTCACACCAGGACGAGGGGCCCGAACAACTCACACCACGAGAAGCCCGAACGACTCACACCAGGACGAAGAGCCCGAACGACTCACACCACGAAGAGCCCGAACGACTCACACCAGGAAGAAGGGCCCGAACGACTCACACCAGGACGAGAAACCCCAAACGACTCAAATCACGAGGAGCGGTTTCTCTCCCTCCTCCTCCGCCTCGTCCTTCCCCCGCTCCCCCCACAAGGAGGATGTACAAGGAGGCGGGAGGAAGGAGGGACAGGGGAGATATGCGGGGCCAAACGGACACACGCCTGAAAAACACGACTGTCGGCATGCTTTGCATGAGTTGCTGTTGTGAGATGGGCTGGTGGGGATACGCGAAGCGTAAAGAATGCTGAATCGTCTCCGACACCTGGAGGTCGGCTGGAGAGTCTGCGGCTGGGGGGTGGGCTCGGCGGCCAGGAGGGCCTCGGCTCCTTCGACGACGGCTCGGTTGTCGAGGAGTGTGCGTGCCCAGGGCGGCCGGCCGCGGCGGCGGGGAGGAGAGGAGGAGGGCCGGGGTATCCGCAGAAGCGGGCTGGGAAAACAGGGGAGAGGGGGGGGCAGAGGGGGAGAGGTGAAGAATGGAGAGAGGGGGGGAGGGGGAGAAGGGGGAGAGGAGGGGGAAGGGGGGGGGAGGGGGAGAGAGGGAGAGGGGAGAGGTGAAGAGGGGGGAGAGGGGGGAGGGGGAGCAGGGGGGAGAAGAGGGGGAAGGGGGGGGAAGGGGGACGGGAAGGGGGGCAGGGGGACACAGGGGAGCGGGGGCGGGCGGGGGAGAGGTCGAGGACGAGAGGCGGGCGGGAGGGAGAGAGGGGGGAGGGGCGGGGAATGGCGAGGGGCGAGGGCGAGGGCGTGGGCGAGGGCGAGGGCAAGGGGGGGAGGGGGCCAAGAGGCCTCCTCTTCCTCCTCGTTTTCCATCTCACCCTTCTGCCTTTCCTGAGCCTCCCCTTCCTCCTCCCCAAAGTGTTCCCCAACGGGTTTCCACAACGCACATAGGAACACATTGCCCAATAGAAGCCTCTCAGAGAGCCTCTCGGAAGCCTTTCATAACCCTCTCGGAATCCTCTCAGGGGCCTCTCAGAAACTCTTGGAAGCCTCTCCCAAACCCATTCCAACTGGGGAATCATCCAAAGCAACTGGGTATGTCCGAACGAACCAGTACATGCAATCCCGTCCCCCCAAGAGGCCCCCAGGAAGCCCCAGGAGGCCCCCTGGAGGCCCAAATCAAGCCCAGAGACGCCCCAAAGAGGCCCTCGAGACCCCAGATCCGCCTCCGAGAGGCTTCCGAGGGGCCTCCCACGAGATCCCAGCAAGCATCCAAGAGGCATCTGACCTACAACCAAGGCACGGTGGCGGGATGGGCCGAAGGTCACTATAGATTTAGTCACCACTTCCTGCTGCAAGGGTTCTCGCACGGATGATCAAGGAAATGTCCGTCTTTCCCCCCATGCTTGCCAGATGCCCAGAGGTTCTGAGGGAGGCATGCTTATCGTATCTTATCGTTCCCGCCTGTTCATGCCCTGCCAACGACGGGGACGCCATGGTCTCGAAGAGAGATTTACACTAGATGTCCAAACAACCTTGCCACAGGATGTATCACACAAAGTCCAGGGAGTATGTTCTACCCCTTCTGCCTGCCGCAGCTGTCCCACGACGGGTTGCCAGGGAAACATGTTTACCCCTATTGGCCCGCTTTGGCTGTCAGCCAGCTGGCCAGCCAACCAATCAACTGGCGAACGGATGAGCCGGCCAACAAAGCAACCGGCCAACCAGCCAGCCAGCCCACTAGCCAACCAAACAAACAACTAAGCAGCCAATCGGCCAACCCGCCAAACAGCCTGCCAACCACCAGCCAACCAGCCCCTCGCATATTGCTGACGATGCCCCATACCAGCAAACCAACCAGCCAACCATGCATCATCTCGCATTGTCTGGGATTGTCCTACACGACGGGGCACAAAGACTATGTTGCTGCCTCAACAACGTGTTGCAAAACAATCATGTTTGCCAACGTATCTTGGAATGATACATATTGTATGATTCGGCTCATGGACGGAGGACATAGAACGGAAGAGGAGGACGGAGAATGGAGGACGGAAGACGGAGGATGAAGCGAGGGGAAGAAGGGGGGACGAAAGAGGGAGAAGCGAGGACGGAAGACGGAGGGATGAGGGAGGAACGAGGAAGGTCGGAGAACGAAAAAGGAGGGAGAAGGGAGGAGGGGAAGGAAGAGAATAATGAGGGATGAACAACCTTGCGTTTCTACCTGGTTCCAAGCGGGGCCTGAGCCGCCACAAGCTCTGGGAAGCGCTGCTCGTACTCCTGGCACTGCCGCAGTAAATCCTGCTGTTGCTGCTGCGCTTGCAAGACCTGCTGGTGCATGTTGGTGACGGCCTGATCGAGACGCCGAGCGCCAAGGTCAGTGGATCGAGGCGCGCGGCAAACGGAACATGTTAGGGATGACTTCCCTTTGCCCCCTTCGCGTAGGGACGAAGACCACTTCACAGCATAAATTTCCCCGCCCGCGAAAAACCTGGCCCGTGAAATAACCCATGGCCGCTCAATCGCGACGGCCCGAACGACCGTAAAGGCTGAGTCGAAAGCGCACTCCACTAATGCAAATGCGAAATCCCCCCACCATTCTGTCTCCTCCGTTTAGAATAGCCCCCTTGCCCCTCCGTGAATCACTCCTTCTCCTCCCCAACCGTCATATCCTCCTACCCGTCCGCCTCTTCCTCGTCCTCTCGGTCCTCTGTTGTCCACGCCCTCTTCTATTTCCTCGTACCCCTCATGATACTCCTCATCGTCATCACTACCGTCATGATCACTGCCTTACGCTCGTCACCATCACAACCGCCGCCAATCGCCAAATGTCCAAAATTATCACCGCTAATGTCACCAGCTTCACAAGGATCATCGCCAATACTTTCGATGACATCATCGTTAGATTCCAGCGCAGCCCACTCGCCCTCGTTCTTCGCATTCCCTCCTCCCCCATACTCTTCCTCGACATCCCCTCCCACTCCTCCTGGCCACATCAGTCTAGTCCCTGGTGTTCTTGGAAGCGGCATTCGCCATCACCCACGCCATCGCCGTAAGGTCATCCCAAGCAACATAATCACAATTGCGACCCTCACTCTGATCGCCATTGTGGTAATTAGAACGCCATCACGACCATCATCATAGCTGCCATCGTTCTCACATATCCAGGTCCCCATCGCGCGTCTTATTATTCTCTGAAAGCATACTGGCTATCCATCTCCGTCGCCATTCACGTGTGCACGATGCAATCGTGATTGATGAAGTCGTTGCACCATGATACACGCAGAGATCATTAACGGCGTCGTGTCATGGACACCTAAACTGGATGGAAGCCGCACGTACGTGCAGGTCTCGTGTGTGAACAACAGGTGAACGTGTGATGTGTTGATTGCGTTTGTATGTGTATGCGTAGGCGCTTGTGCAAGGATATGCGTATGTGCCTGTGTCTGCCGACCCCGTCGGCGTATGTGAGGGGCTTTTCCGTTTGAGTCGTCGTCGTCGCCGCTCTCCTCCGTTGACGCTTTTCCGTTTGGGTCGTCGTCGTCGTCGCCGCCGTCGTCGCTCCCCCACTGTCCCTGGGCCCTCACCCCCAAACGTTCAAGCCAGAGGGAAATCGAGCAACGTCGTAATCGAGTCGAAGGGAAGCCCATTCCTTTTGATCCCTCCACCCGCCCCGGGGGGGGGGGGGTCCCAGGGGGACAGGGCGAGGTCCCAGGGGGGGTCCTGGGGGTGTTGTTACCCCGCCCCTCGGGGGGAGCACCCCTCCCCGGGAGAAGCTTCCCCTTCGAGATGTTGCCTCTCAGACGCCTCGAGCTCACTTGCACCGCGACTTGCTCGAAGGGGGCCCCGAAACAGCCCAAGATCGCTCCAAGACGGCCCAAGATACCCTCAAGATGGCCTCAGTAGCCCTCAAGTCGCCCCAAGAGGGCTCCAGGAAGAGCCCCAAGAGGGCCCCAAGAGGCAACAATCAACGATTTCATTCAATTATTCTATGTTTTTCGCGCCCTCACCTTTTCGGGCATCCGACGCTCTAAGACGGGCCAGGAAGCCACCAAAACCGCCCCAAGACTGTCCAAAGACGGCCCCAAGACCGTCCAAGAGGCCCCCCAGACGGCCAAATAGCGCCCCAAGAGGCCCAAGAGGCTCCCGAGACGAGGAACACCAACCGACAGTTCGAGCCCAAGAGTCGCCCAAATAAGCCACCAAGAGGCGCCCAAGAAGCCCAAGAGCCCCGAGAGTACTCCCAAGAGAACATCAAGAAGGTTTAATCGATGGAAGTTCCGTTGAGCGATCTTCGTCGTCGCCGTCGTCGTCGTCGCCTTCATCGTCGTCCCCCTTCAGGGTCGGCGGCACCAGCCGTAAGGCCCTCGCAGTGTGTAGGTGCCTGTGTATGTGCACAGATGTGATGTATGTATGTGTTCGGATGTGACCATCTATGTGCACGTATGCAGGTACGTATGCGTATGCGCATACTCCAATAATCTCCACGCGCGAACACACACACACACACACACACACACACACACACACACACGCGCGCGCGCGCACGCGCACGCACGCACGCACGCACGCACGCGCACGCACGCACACCCACACAACACACACACACACACACACACACTCACACACACACACACACACTCACACACACACACACACACACACGCGCGCGCGCGCGCACGCGCACCCCCCCCCCCACACACCACACACACACACACACACACACACCACACACACACACACACACACACAAAACAAAACAAACAAACAAACAAACAATCAAAATCACACACAAACACACACACACACACACACACAACACACACACACACACACGCGCGCGCGCGCGCGCGCTCACGCGCAAACACAGAGAACACACAACAAACACACCCACACACACACACACACACACACACACTCACACACACACACACACACACACACACACACACACGCACACACACACACACACACGCACACACACACACACACTAACACTCACGTGCAAATACACATACATTATTGGCAGGACGAGTGACAATCAAACCAGCGCCTGGCACAGCGAGTCGATCTCCTGCGGCGGATTGCAGATGTCGTCATTCCGCCAACTTCTCTCCCTCCTCTCGTCCCGTCCCGTTCCCTCTTACGTATCCTCCAGCCTTGCATCCCGCTCTGGCCCCGCCCGCAACCCCCCCTTCAACCCCATCCACCATTAACCTCTGTTATGCTTGCTTGGACAAACCCTGAGAGCGAAAGCGTGAAGTTCAGATTCACGGAACGACGTCATATACAGGACACAGAACGCACACAACACCTTGAATGGGGACTCGGCAACAAAGCTGCGATGCGAAGCATGTATGTGAGGAGCGGCAACAGAGTGATGATCATTACCTCGCTCCCACCATCCTATCCACACTCCCTTCTGTTCACACACTCGGCTCGTCCCTCACGAAAAAAACTATGGACCCTGGGATAACGATCCGTAGCTGGCATCCTGCAGCAAGAAATGTCCACCACAGTGCCGCGAGGCACTAAGTGGAGTGCCCCCGTTGAAGGAAAAAACTGTGCATCAAAAGTTGGGGGACCACTTCCAATACAACCCCCCCGCACGCCCCCGGTCTTAATCTTGAGCAGTTGGTCCCGGAGATGAACGGCCGGAAAAATCTGAACCCAAAATCTCGATCGCGATGCATTCCGATAGTAAGGCCAGGGGGTGGAGGGAGGGGAGTTCGGTTCTTTGTCGTCGGAGCGTTGTTGATGCAAAGCTTTGTCCTTCAGCCGCCTCAGGTGCCTTAGAGTCCTCCATCCTCTTCCCCAAGGATTTGGTAAGGAGCCCACAACCCAGAGTTCTGGGCGCTCTCGGGTACTCTTGGCGCTTCTGGACCTTCCCGCACGACTGCTCCAGGGCCAAGAAGCCTACAAAACGGACCAAGAGGGCCCCAGGTGCGCCCAAGCCGGTCAATGAAGGCCCCGACTCGTCCCAAAATCGCTCCAAGACGCCCAAGAAGGCTTCCAGGCAGCTAAAGAGGCCCTCAAGACGCCCCAAGAGGGCCCCAAGGGCATCCCCCCAAGAGAGCCCCAAGAGGCAACAATTGCTTCAAACACGTAGGAAAGCGTGCACCTATAGCATCTTCGCCTACTCGGCCTTCACAGCGTCCGAAAGAGTTCAAGAGGCCCCCGAGATCCCCCCAAGACGATCCAAGAAGCCCCAAGAGAGTTCCAAGACGGCCCTCCAAGAGAACTCCAAGACGGCCCAAGAGGCGCCCAAGACGGCCCAAGAGGGCAGACAGCCCAAGAGGCCTCCAAAACGCCCCAAAAACTATCCCAGAGCACTCCCGAGAGCGCCCCAAGAAGCAAAAATCATAGATTGTCCTTAGATGTTTGAAAGATTTAGGCGGTCTCGCCCTTTTGGCTTCCCGACGCTCCAAGACGACCCAAGACGCCCCCAAGATCGGCTAAAGACGGCTCCAGGGGCCTCTGTGATGGCCTGACGACGGCCCAAGAGGGCCCCAAGACGGCCCAAGAGGCCTCCAAGATGGCCCAAAAGAGCCCCAGAGGGGTATCCCGAACGGACATTTCGAGCCCTCGGCCCCAAGAGGCACCCAGGAGGCCCCAAGAGGCCCGCAGAAGCCCCTCAACTTGTCCAAGGGGCCCCCAAGCGACCCCAAGAGTGCCCCAAGAGGCCCCCAAGATGATCCCAGGACGCTCCCAAGAAGGCCCAAAACTGCTCCCCAGGTACCCCCGAGAGCCCTCCGAGGAGACTCCAAGAAGCCTCCACGAGGACTCTGACCCACAACCCAGGCACGGTTGCCCCGCAGCGCCGCATGAGGAACGAAAACGCGGGCAAATGCATGCAGCATTATGGACCGGCGGAATGAGCCGAGCGACTAAATATTGTTTTGAGCTTCTGGCAAGTGGCCTGATGCCCTATCGGTGGTGCTCTATGTCTGGTGCTCGATGGTGCCTTCCGATGATGCCTTTATAATGCTCGATGGTGTCCTATGGGCGGTGCTCTACGGCTGGAACCCTATGATGCCCAGCCTTGATGGCCTATGGGTGGTGCTCAATGGCGGATGACCTAAGATGCATTCGTGGCTGCGATTTCTCGTTCTCTCCTTAATGTCCCATGCGCGGTATTCTACGGCTGGCGCCCTATGATGCCTGAATGGTTATGAGTTATCGTCATTGCCCTCGTGTCGTGTGGGTGATACTATGTGGCTGTTGTCTCATAGCGCCTTAATGATTGAGATGTGACGCTCCTGCCTTGGTGGCCAATTGGTTGCGCTCTATGGCTCTATGGCTGGTGGCCTCCGAAGTCTTATTGGCTGCAATGTCTAATGTTTGCGGTGGCGCCATATGGTATGGTGTCTAAGTTGCTGGTATCGCTCGCTCTTGCCCTGGTGCTCTGTGGATGGTGGTTTGATGGCTGGTGT